AAAAACTCAGTCCCCCAAAGAGTCTTATAAGATAGCCTTGCTCTGGGTTGAGAGGGGTGAAGTCTTACAGTACCTGGTGGGGTCAGTCCTTCTCAGTGGGGGGCGTTCATTTCAGCAAAAAAAAGGGAAGAGTGAACTTTCTTCTCCCAGGAGGCTTGGGTGTGTGAAAGCTTCACCCACAGGGACCCACCTTAAAAAGCCCGGGGCAACAGGTTTCACCTGCGGAGCTCATTTTGCTACGTGCCCAGGCCCAGTGCCAGGCCAATCCAATCTGCATCTGAGTGTGGGGCCCAGGCACAGGGATTTTTTCACAGCTCCCACAGGGATTTTAATCTGCAGCCAGAATGGAAAACACGGCTCCGACGCAGTGATTCTGGATCAGGGGCAATTCTGCTCACGCCCTGGGCAGGGGTGTAGGGACATGTTAATTGGTCACATCTGGGGGTGGTTCAGGGGACAGCCCAGGATGCTGCTAAATCTCCTAAAACACACAAAACGACCCCCTCAAAACAAAGATTTCATTGGCCCCAAAAGTGACCAGTGCTGCTGCTGAGAAACTCCTGCTCTAGAGAAAGAGTTAGTGGGAGAAACCGCATGCTCTTTCTATCTCTAGAGAGACTCCCATGAAAGAGGAAAAGAGGTGGTAAGAAGCTTTCAGGAGGGAGACTTGCAACCTTGACACTCCGTCCTGCCAGGCCAAAAGCAGTTCTGAACGGACCTTGTCTAAGATAAGTGAATAATGCCCAGTGTGTGCTCTCATCGTTAGGTGACATCAAGGAAGAGTTAGGAAGCTATTGTTCACTAGAACCTGCCCTCAAATGTCAAATGAATAATAACTGAGCAAAGCTTTCAGAAGAAAGACGATCAGCAATAAAATAAGGAGTAATGTTTCTTCCACGAATCTTTTCTTTGTTGCTGATAACCAGAAATATGTGCTTCTAGAATTAAAATAAAATTCTTGTTACTATTTTTAGACTGGATTCATAATGTCCCATGGATGGACTCCTGGTAAAGAAAGGCCTGGTGATCAGAATCATGCCTGTCTGGAAGGCTAACAATAAAGCAGAGCTATTGCTGCTGAAAGAACCTGAATCATCCATGGCATCCATGACCTGAGTTTAAAAAGTTTTCTGTGAAAAAGCAAAGATCTGCCAGCTGATACCTGGAAGCAAAAGCCCTTGGTCTCCTAGTGAAAGGGAACACTTTCGCCTAAAAAAGTGGAATCCAACCTTGGATTTCAATGGAATCGGGTAAGCGAATCCCCCATTCTCCAGGAGGCTATCATTGTGTGTACATTTATAGCTAGAAGTGGCTATTCATAATTACTTAATTTACAAATCTGGAATACAGCAAGTAACTTGAATGAATAGACAAATGCCTTAATGTCTAGATGTGATAAGTGTTGAATCTGCTTCCTCTTTGCAAATGGACCTTTCTACAAATTGAAATCAAGTAGTTGAATAATAACTTCTAAACAAGGAAATACATTCATGAGCCTTTTGTTCAATTTGCAGATTTTTCCCCCCTGTGGCTTTCCCCCCCCCTCCCCCACCCCCGTCTTTGCTTTTGAGTCAGCTACTAATTGAAAAGTGGCTATATAGCCCTAAATATTTTTGAGAAAACTGCCTAAAGTTGGAAATTAAGCCAAATGTTTTAACCAAAGGAAACTCTTGGAGGTCAAGTTCACCTACCAATTAATCCAGTAGCTTGCCACTGAAGGCCCAAGAAGACTTAAAGAAGTTCAAGGCACAGTCAACTAAAACAGCAATTGTTTTCACTAATGTTTCCTCCCTGTACATATTGTGTCTTCTTGGAGGGATGTATATCCTTACAAGTAGGACAATATCCCACCATCTATCTCTGATTCATTCTGCCATATGAGGCAGACACTCCCACCTACTCTCACCTCCTTTCTGTTCCTATAAAAGCATGCCAGTGCTCATCCAAAACACTCAGATCTCACACCAACTGCAACAGAGTGACTCTGTAAATGACTTGGCAAATCTGCAATTTGGGATTAAACTCGCTACTGGTTCCTATTTGTTCACAAACCAATGACTCAAGAAACGTGTGCAGTGATTTGTAAGTATAAAAGATCATGTCTTACCATCCATATCAAAAATTAATTTGCAACAGCAGGATAAATACAAGCTGCCAGTGCCCAAGTTTATAGGCTGATGATCCATGAACATTGTGCCACTTCATTTTCCAATTAATTACTGAACTAAAAACATAATGTAAATGTGCTACAAATATACCTTGGTGAGGATATCAACTGTCAAAAGATTTGTCACTTTAGAATGAGAAAAGAAGTAAACACAAAAATATGAAATACAGTGACATTCTAAATGACGCATCAAATTTTTAACTACATAAAATGGCTACATTTTTAAAAATCATTTGCCTGGCCCACGATATTTATCTGAATCCAAGCAACAATAAGTCATGATGTAATGTCACCCTTATCTAGAGACATTCCTTACTTTATGCCAGGCATCGTTTAAAAGTCGCACCTAAAAACTTTTTTTGTATACTAAGAAAATATAATACATTGATTAAACTCAATGAGTTCTTTACTTTAAAAAGTCGTTTTGTAGAGAATTGTTAAGTTAACCACCTGCCACTATTTTTTTGTTGTTCAACATACACTCTCCTTAAAATAGTGCACACCATTTACTTCTCACGTTCATCAAAAAGTAATTAAGAAATGGAAAAGTCATTAACGTCACCTTCCTGTTAACCCATGACCCCCTGAAGACAAACTTCCTGTCAATGACGTAGCTTTGGTAGTAGCACAACCGAAATATCTTTCACCATGACTTTCATCCGGGTGAGAGCTGTGCAGCCAAGGCTGCCCTCAGCACCTGGCAGCATCTCTGCCCCGCCTGGAAAGAGTGAGTGACGTGCAGTGAACTTAAAACACCCCCCCCCCCCCCCAACCAGGAGGCCTCTCTACACAGCAGCAGAATTGGCTTCTCCCCGTCTCCATCTCCCAACTCAAACAACCAATCATCCTACCTTCCCCACCCTTTCAAGTTCCACGTGTGCTTAAGAGAACACTGGATGCATTAGAAGCCAAGCTTTAGGAGTCAGTTTTCAGCACTACAAGAAAAGAATTAGGATGAAATGGAGTCCAACAGGCAAATCCCCAAGTACAATATTGGAAATTTACCCCATTGTGTCGCCGCTAGAATTGGAAGCCACCACTGCTCAAAGCTGACTGCCGCTGACTCCTGAGCAGCTTTCAAACAGAGTGAGAAACCTCAGATATTTTGGATGAAAAGAGCCCATAGTCCATAAAACCAATCATTTTCGTTCCAACTCAACCAACCATAGGTAACATAAAAGGACGGTAAGGAGTTTTTCATTTGTTTTTTAAAGAAATGATTTTTTTTCCCCTCTAGAGTTCAAGGTGGTTTCAGAACCAAGATGCAGAAAATTAAGCCTCTTCCAACGGTTTACAAACTTGGATTTAGAGCCACCTCAGCAAATGCAGTGCATATTATGCTGTGGAGAGCAAAGGAGTGTCCAAACACATCTGTACATTTTTTTAAAGGAACATTTAGACAACCGAAAAAATATTTCTCATGTTAAAATCAAAGAGCATGCCATTTAGAATTCATTCCAGGGACCTTGTTTGGGAGGGTTGGGTGGTTTTGAGTGAGTAGAGAAAGAAATCATTTGATACATTTTAGATACAAAGTAAAGTCACACATTCATGCTAAGGCCCCCAACACCATAAAAAAATCCTCAAGGTCAAGTAAGGCATATTTATAGGCATTCAGGCAACCCAGCATCAAGCCTGTGCATTTCCTTTCTAATGATATTGGTTTTGCACCAGTAGCTCTCTCCAGGGTCTGGCTGCTCTGTGCCTGCTGCCCAGAGGCTCTCTGAGGCCCATCCAAAGCCAGCACGGAACCTTGCCTCATCACCACGCCTCATCACCACAGCGATGAAGCAAGCATTTTGCCAGGCCACTCACTCTGCCCGCTCTCAGCAGCTACCCCACAGGACTGGGGGACTATGGTGGGGCTGAGAGGGCTGGCACCACCATCTTGTAGCTATGGGTGCTGCCATCTTTGTGGAGTGATGGTTAATTTGCATATTACCCTTTTATTAGGATTATCATATATATAAAAAGCCAGCAACCAGAATACCATAACCTCCTGTCGCTATGACATCCACTGTGGCCAGTAAACCGGCTGATGTGGGGTGGGCTGCCAGCCAACCTCCCACAGCCCTTCCCCCTGCAGGCCCCACCCCTAGGCCTGCAGCCCCTCCCCCAGTCAGCTCTGCCTCCAATCGGGACAGGGCCACTGGCCAACCACCCATGGCCCCTCCCCCAGGCTGCTGGCCCCCATTGCCCCCACCCCCACCTCATTTGGGGCAGGGGCAGCTGGCCAACCGCCACAGCCCCTCCTCATGACCAAGGACCAATCACCCTCGGCCCCTTTCCCCAACTGGGCAGGGCCAGCCAGCCAACCTTCTGCCGTCTCTTCTAGACAGGCCTGGTTCTGATCTGCCCCTGATTGGGGCCAGGCCAGCCGGACCTCACCTGTGCATGAATTTCTGCACTGGGCCTCTAGTTTATTACAATTGGATTAGAAAACCTTTTAGTCACCTGTTCCACCAGTGAGCCTCAGCAGGAGACTGCACACAACTAGGAAAATGCTCAAGTTCAAGACGGAAGAATCTTAAGAGACTGGGTCTGGTTTCATCTTCAGTTTCCCATAAATCTCACCCCAACTAGTCAGCGACCCCTGGAATTATTGTTCCTCTCGCCCCTCCTCCTCCTCCAAGCTGACTGATACCTGTTTAAACTAAAACCAACCAAGTGGAAGAAGCACACATCATGAATTAGGGCAAATCTTTGCTCCTCCCCCAGCCCACCCCCTGGCCAGGGACTGCACATTCTAATCTGTAGGGACCGCCCTTTCTCATTCAGATCTCTCTCCGGAGCTGCCCCGGCCAAAAGCAATCCCCAGCACGTACTGACCCACCGTTCATGCCACTGTAGACGTTCCGGTGATGGGGCGACCCTTCCTCCTGCGCCTGTCTCCGGAGGGTGCCCTCCCTGCTGCCTCCGCCACCGCCGCCGCCTCCACCCACGTGTTTGTGGTCTGGGCTCCCCGCGTAATGCTGCTTGAGGTGCTCGGGGCTGGTGCCCCTGGCCCTGGGCAGGTGCTCCAGGCTCCCGCCCAGGGCGTGTTTCTGCAGGTGCTCCGGGCTCCCGCCGCTGTGCCGGGCGTGCTCGGGGCTGCCCCCGGCCCGGTGCTTCTGGAAGTGCTCGGGGCTCCCGCTCAGCACGTGCTTGGGCAGCGTCTCCGGGCTGCTGCCCGGGTGCGGCGGGTGCCTCTGCTGTTCGGGGCTGCCCTTGCCCAGGGGTTTGTGGTGCTCGGGGCTGGGTCCTTTGAGTGCTTTGGGGTGATCCGGGGCCCCGGAGGCCCTGGGTTTCTGCAGGTGCTCCGGGCTGGTGCTCCTGTGCTTGGCGGCGTGCTCGGGGCTGCCCTCCGCCCGCAGCTTCTGCAGGTGCTCGGGGCTGCCGCCGCCGCCCGCGTGCTGCTGCTTGTGGTGGTCGGGGCTGTCGGTGCTGCCCGCGCTGGAGGTGCTGCTGCCGTCGCCCACGTCCCGCACGTAGGGGGCGGTGGAGGAGGCGGTGAGCTGGCACAAGCTGGCCTGGCTGTCGATGGAGCAGCGGCTGCCCGCGCAGCCCGCGCCCTTCTCCTCGTCCAGCAGCACGCACAGCTCCTTGAGCTCCAGATTCTCCTTCACCACCTCCTCCTGCTTCGCCTCCAGCTCCTTCAGCTTCTGCAGGTACAAGGCCACCTCCTTGTGCATCACCCCCGCAGTGAAGCGGCCCAGTCTCTGCCACTCCCGGGACACCCTCTTGCCTTTCTGCCGGTCGTCGTCCAGGAAGCAGCAGAGGTCCCGTAGCTCCTGGTTGTCCTCCTGCAGTTTCTGGTTGATGTCCTGGGAAGAGAGAGAGAGAGAGACAGCCGCTCAGGAACCTGCACGTTGAGGCTGCGTCAGGCTTAGTGAGACTCAGGAGAGACAGCCTAGAGCTGGCCAGTTCTTCCTGCGGTGACGGGAGGAGGGGAGGGGGGAGGAAGCGTCAAGTTTGTAAAAATAAAAACAATAAGTATCGCCAAAATAGGTTTGGCTCAGTGGATTGAGCGTCTGCCTGTGCACTGAGGGGTCCCAGGTTCGATTCCAGTCAGGGGCATGTTCCTTGGTTACAGGCAGGCACATCGCCAGTGTGGGGTGTGCAGGAGGCAGCTGATCGATGTTTCTCTCTCATCGATGTTTCTGGCTCTCTGTCCCTCTCTCCTCCTCTCTGTAAAAAAATCAATAAAATATATAAAAATAAAAATAAAAATAAATAATAGGTATCAGTTGTGCTCCCTGTCTACTGCTTTCCGTGTATTATCCCATCTAATATTCACCAAAACACTTAGGGGATCATGATTATGACGGTTCTTTTACAGGAGAAAACACTAGACCTTGCCAAGTTTGTCTCTTCCAAGGTCATCCATTCAGTATTAGTGAGCAGTTTTTCATTAACAGAGAATCCTTTAAAAAAAAAAATGAAATTTTAAAAATCTGCTCTCCTGTCCCACCTTCAAGGAAGAGAGATGGCTGCTCCTGACTTGTGACATATTTAAAAGGCCTTTTATCTCCCAAACAGGCACTGCCTAGGCTTTCAGGCCATAGCATGGAATTCCTGCCCCAATTCCCCCCGCCAGAAGGAACAGCACAACTGCCCTCTGGGGGCACTTCAGTCCTGCAAGTCCAACCAGCCACTGGCCACACCCCCACTCATCTCCCAGGCTCCACACATGAAACACAGCAATGCTGAGCTCATGTTCAGACTGCCCTCCCCAAACTGCACCTCTTGGCAAATGCCACCTCCATCCGTCCTGTTGTTCTTCATAAGAACCTGTCCTTGTGCCTCCTTCTCCCTTGCCTGCCACTCCTGAGCTCAATGAGACTTCTGAAATCTAGCTCCAAAATGTATCTCATCTCATCACTCCTATGCTAAAAGCCCTTAATACACTGCCCTTAGGATAAAGTGCAAAATCTTTCAAGTCCTCATGAGGCCCCCAGGCTTCTGGGCCTGCCTGCTTCTCCAACATGAATGGTGAGTCACTGATTCATTCACAAATATTTAATAAGCACCTATTATGAGCCAGACACAGATCCAGCTGATGTGCAACAAGACCCTGACATCCTACAGCTTTCATTCTAATGGGGAAGACTAGCAAAAAGCAAATACAGAACATAATGTCCTATAGAGGAAAGTGCTGGGAAGAAAATTAAAGCAGATTAAAGAATACCTTTAAACAAGAAGGAGGAGGAAGAGGAGGAGGAGGAGGAGGAGGAGGAGGAGGAGGAAGAGGAGGAGGAGGAGGAAGGAGGAGAATGAAGAGGCATCTCAGCAAAGGCCTGAGTGAAATGAAGAAGTAAGCATTTGAGAGATGACCCCAGGCAAAGAAAATGCCAAGTATAAAAGCCCTGAGTCAAATGTGGCTCCAGTGAGGAGAGAAAGGAGGGCAAGGTGGAAAAGAGGTCTGAGAGGTATCAGGGCCAGGGAATGCAGGGCCTCGTCAGCCATGGGGAGGACTCTGAATTGGTGAGCAGAGGATAGAGGAACGACATGATAGGATTCAATTTGTAAAGAATCACCACAGTTTTGTGTGAACAACAGATTAGCTGGGGGGTAGAGGGAGGCGGATAGAAGAGAGGGAGACAGACCAAGATGGAAGCCCACAGACCAGCTAGGAAGCTACTAGGCTGGTCCGGATAGAGGGAGATGATGGTGGCTTTGGCATATGGTAGCAGTGGAGAAGGTGAGAACATCCTCTTCGCATCATGCACTGAGCCCCACCAAGATACCCTGGTTCTGGACCACGAGGGACAAGCCCTTCCCCTCCTTCACTTGGAATGCTTCCCCCAGCCTTTTACATAACCCTTAGGTCTTACTTTGTTACTTCCCATAGAGGCTCTCCTTGACCACTGCCCCCAATGCTCTACCATTATCCCTTAGTCTTCGCCTCTGTTGCATTTATTACAATTTGTAATCACATATGGTTGAGGGACATATGGTTGAGTGTGGCTATTAGTCATGTCTTCATCCTCATCAAACTGGTCATGAGTGAAGACTCCCGCTCACTTCCACTGCACCATCTATTCTGTTCACTTCTGTGCATTCAGAGCTCCGCGCCCCCACTGTGTTACAGAAAACCGAAGAAGAACAAAGCAATTCTTAGAGAAATGGAGTTACATTTATTATGCACAGGTCCAGAGGAAAATGTCTTTCAAATTCTGGGCCCTAACATGCAGGAATTCTTCCTATTTATATGATTTTGCCTTCTTTGTCTCCCAAATATGCAGTGTTTCCGGCCCCCTTTTGCAAGTTCTTAAAGAGCCCCTGTGTGCTGGGGCTTTGAGACCTCAACCAGAAGCCTGGCCTGGCACCAGCACTGATAACCTTGTCTGGGGAAGGTTAAATTTACAGAAGCCAAATAGCAGGGTTAAAATTTCAAACAGCAGTTTTCATACAAGATGGATGCTTCAACTGTAGATAGCTGAAACCCAGGAATTTAAATATTAATTGAGAAGTCCCCGTTTATGCTCCATTCACACATACAATATAAAAGGGGTAACAGTTTCTTAAAGCACCATGGTTTGGTGGGGGTGCGACCTGAGTGGCTACTTAAGACTTCCCCAGTTTTACAAAGCCCGGAAACTTCGGGCCTTGTGACTGCTGTCTAATCCAGAACCAGAGGTGCTCTAGTGGGGCCTTAATTCTCTTAAATTCAGATTGATTCCAATACTTTCCCTGCTACTGACTTAAAAATAAACTAGAGCCGAAACCGGTTTGGCTCAGTGGTAGAGCGTCGGTCTGTGGACTGAAAAGGTCCCGGGTTCGATTCCGGTCAAGGGCATGTACATTGGTTGCGGGCACATTCCCAGTGGGGGGTGTGCAGGAGGCAGCTGGTCGATGATTCTCTCTCATCGATGTTTCTAGCTCTCTATCCCTCTCCCTTCCTCTCTGTGAAAAATCAATAAAATATATTTTAAAATAAATAAATAAATAAATAAATAAACAAACAAACTAGAAAACATCTGTCAACCATGCCCTGCATCTCCAAAAATGATGCTCAAGGCCTGAGGAAGAAGAGGATCTGTGCAGCTTAGTGGTCAACTCCACTGCCAACTCTTGGCATCACCGTCGCCTATTTCCTTGTCTCTAACAACCATCCAATCCTTTGCTTCTCAATGCCACTTTCTGGTAGTGCCAAAAACTTCTCACCTGGCCTCCTTCTCTTGGCCTGCCTCTGTCCTTTGGTCTTCCCCATTCCTACACCTGCTCCAGTCCAAGCTGTCTTTGGCCAGACTGGTGTCCAAAAACACTCCCTGCAGGTTCTGTCTCTCCTGCATATGAACCCTTTTATAACCCTGCACATCACCTCCCCTTTGCCAGGGAAAATGAATGAACCATTGGCCACCTTTAACTTCCTCTTGGTCCGCTCACTCTGAACCCTGATTTTGTCTAGTTTTCTAATTAGAAAATATGATCCTCTCCCTTATATGAACTTATAAAAGGAGAAATTCCTCTAAGAAGACTCCCCCAACCCTAGAACGACACCTGGAGTACAGCAGCACCAGGAATGAATGAATGAAAGAATTTTCCCACTCTTCGCTTACTGCCTATAAGATACACTAGCTAGAGGACTTTTTTTTTTTTTTTAAGGTAGATATCTTAGCTTCTGGAGACCAGGGTTCATCCCAATGTTCTTATTTGCATATCTGACACATCTGGCAGGGTGCTTTGCATAGAGTAAACAATATGTGTTTACGGACTAACCAACTCTCTAAAGCCCTAGACTGTGTTCAAACAGGATAGAGCTCTAGCTACTGCCATGTTGGTAAGAGAATAAATTATCCCTTGTCACTGATGCTTTTTAAGGGAAATCAGAAGCTGTGGACATTCTGAGAAAATAATACTAAACAAAATTAACCTTTCTAAGCTTCAAAAACTATTCCACATTTAGTTCAATCCTGTCATTTCATAGAAATTTTAAGTCATGTTCTTCTAACTGTAACAAAATTTCCAACTGAAAATACTTTCCCGCTGACTATCCTACAACTATTTCTGATTTCTCCAGAACTGGGAAGTAAACAGGGCTTGTACTACCGCAGGCTTCAAGGAGTTAATGCCCTTTCCAAATGGAGTGAAACAAATACTTCTCAGTTCCAGCTGGGGGAGAAAGGATGGGTATTGGCCCATTCCCTTTCCTTCAGCACAGCTCCTTCTTCCTATTACTATTAGTTTTCCTGAGAACAGTATTTACTCTTCAATGCTGAGCTACTTTCTTTGCCTTCTGATGAACAGACAGTTAAGCAACCAGCTTGATAACAACCTTGTGAGCCAGCTTCTTCAAATCTGCCACATTAAGACTTGGGCTTTCTTTTAAAAAAAGCTAAAGGAGTTCATAACTGCCAAACCAGAATTATATGAATTGCTGAAGGGGGTTCTTTAGGAAGAGGAAGAAAATAAAGATTATGAACAACAAATATGTAACTATCAACAAGTGAATCTAAAAACCAAGGGAATTAAAAAACCTGATGAACAATATTAACTGTAGAATATAATAGAATCAGAGGTATGGAAGGAGAGTGACTGACAATTCTCGGGGAAAAGAGGAGTGGGGGGTGCGGGAAAAGACTGAACATAAACTGTGCACCTATGGATGAGGACAATGGGGGGGGGGAGAGGGTGAGTGGGAACTTGGTGGAGGGGGGGAAATGACGAACTTTTGTAATAATATGAACAATAAAGATTTATTTAAAAACAAAACAAAACATGAAGTGTTCTTGTAACGTTCCCATGTGCCACCAGACATTATCCTTCTGTTTAAAATGGACTTTTAAAAGATTAAACCATCTTATAGCACACAACCCAAAAT